AACAATACTCTCTCTCTCTCTCTCTCTCTCTCTCTCTCTCTCTCTCTCTCACGCCAACCCATTGACTAACTCTTTCCCGCAACTGACAAACCTAGCTCCCTTCCCCTCTCTCTCTCCATACAAACCTCTACCGCTCTCATACAGCTCTATCTCTCTACACAAACTCAAACTAGTATTGTCTCTCTCCCAACAAAGCACCCCTCTTTCTTCAAACCCAAAAACTAAAGCTCTCTATCATTACAATAGTATATTCTATGATAACGAATCATAGAGAAAGAAGACCATGGTTTTGGGTTTAAGTGCATGCTATCTCTACTTGAAAGCCATAAATCCTCTCTCTTCCCAAATGCAAATAATTGGTATTTTGGCTATGGACCAAGTTCGCCAACAAATAGACGGCCGTGTCGTGGAGTTTTCTTTTTCTTTTTTTTTTTTTGGGAGAGGAGGAAGGGGGGGGAGGGGGGAAGGGGCGGAGAAGGGGAGGGGGAGAGGGAGAGATAGTAGCATGATTGACTTTGTGTAGAGAGAGAGGAAATGAGACTAGTAGGATGCTTTGTGCGAAGGGAGCTAGGTTTGTGGGTTGCGGAGGGGAAGAGAGAGAGGGAGTGAGGTTGTTTGGGTAGAGAGAGAGGAAAAGGTATAATTGATTATCTCTTGCTTGGTTGCTCCTGATCATGAAAGAAATACTAGTAAAACATCGTTAGATTTGGCGTCTATTCATAATATCGGCATGTTGCCGTATCCTCACTGACACACTTACCCATATCCATGCTGCATTTGGTTTTATATTAAGTGAGAGAATCAAATTTTATATGCATTTTTTTATAGCCTATGTAATACAAATATGTATGGAACATACATATATGTATTATATAAACTTTTAAAGAAAAAAACTTTCCATGAATCTTGAAACTATGTTATCTACTGAGGGTATGGCCCTTGATAGAGCAGAATGGTGGAGCAAGATTCATTTCGCCAAACCCAAATAGTTATGAAAAGGCTCTGATGATGATATGTATGGAACATAATATCTATTATATACTTCAGAAGTAAAATAGTTGACATTTGGAGGGTTGGGCTTTAATGGTCAGTGCGAAAGCATGTTAATCACTATCATTAAGGTTTAGATCTCATACAACCAACCCTTTAAATATTGTTATTTTCTTAAAATTCCTTGAAAAACATTGTCAGCCGCACCATGACCTAACAAAACTTGCCTATGGCCTACACGAGAGAGACCCCCCAAACACATAATAAAGAGTGTAATAACCTCTTCTGGGAAGTAAAATACAAGCTTGAGTAAGTCCCTCCCCCCAAAAACCCCCATGCCCCAAACGAGAAAAAAACAGCAAAACCAACCGGAAAAAAAAAAGGACCAAATTACTTGTTTTCAATAAAGTAAGAAAAACCAAACTAATGTGAATAAAATGTCTTGAATCTCCAAAACTTCCTTTTCAACATAAGGGAGATTAAAGATTCATCCACATCCAAGTGTCATCATATAGCTTGATTAAACTGAAAAAAAAATATAGATATATATATATATATATGTATATATATTCCATCATTTCAAATCATATCCCCAGACCCTGAAAGCTAAATCCAAGACGCACATCAAGACCTAACACTCTCTATATCTGGTCATAGTTAAATTCTCCTTAGGCTATACTCACATACTTCATCAAATAAATACTCTCCAGGCCCCCCCTAAGCATGACCCACGGGCAACCTGTGATATCTAATATCATCTAAACTTGACAACACCCTTCCATTCCAATATACAACCTTCTTAATCCAAATCAACATTTCATTCATGAAAGCACTGCTTTGGATAAAAGGATAATCGGAGTATAACTGCAGCTATTTGTTAGGGAAAGAAACTATCTATGTTTCTTTATGTGTCTGAGTGTCAAACTCTTGCCTATTAAGCCTGCCTCAGTATGACTCAGAAGATTTCAACAGAGCCTCTCAGATTTAGAAACTCAGTATGACGCAGAAGATTTCAATAGAGCCTTTCAGATTTAGAAACAAGAAAACTTAAAAATCCAAATCCAGCAATAAAGATAAGTACAACACAGAAGGATTGTTTCTATTGAATGACCCCACCTCCTATCTCAATACTAACAGAAACTTAGGCCACTCAGATCAAAGTTATAGCTGATTACCTTAAAACACATTGACAAAGTGCAAGAGAAGCACTCGACATGCTACCTCCAATAAACTTTTGCAGCAAAAAAAGCTAATCCAGGTCACAAATTAAGACAAAGTCTGCTCGTATTTCCATAAACTAAAATCTAGTTTGTCAATAAATCAATAAATAATAAATTAGAATTCCAAGCAGTACAGTCTCTTACTCGATCCAATTTCGATAAAAAACAGGTATGCTCAGCAACTAGTTATAACCAATAATA